TTCTGTTTTTTTTTTTTGTTACGCAATAGAAAACAACAATGCCCCCCCCAAAAATATAAGCGTGTAGGTTTTTTTTAGCCCTACACAAAGGGAGGTTGTCACGGCGCTTGGTACCCAACGTCCATCAGAGTATGATTCTGCCAAAGGAGGCGAAATGAGCAGAGACATGGACAAAGATAGACTGGAAGTGTGTAGCCTGTGGCATGGTGGATTTAGTGGTACAGGGCTCCAAGTGCGCGGCAATGGTGGATACAGTAGCGGAGATGAATATTATCCGCGAAGCTGACATGCTTAGATTGGGATTAGAGATAGACCGCTCTTATTGCGGCATTCTGCATGGAGCTAGTTGCAAGGCAGTGTTTTGCGGAACAACCTCGAATGTACTCATCGAGGTTGGAAGAGTAAAGGCCAGAACCTGCTTCTTCGTCATGCCAGACATGGATCTGGAAATCCTTCTGGGAAGATCCTTATTGTGCAGGGCAGAGACATTGATGTTTAACAAACACGATGGAACTCTTATCCTTGTCATGTGTGATCCTGCCTATGGAAATTACGAAGTAATCACCTGCAGGAATACAAGACCGTGGAGCATAAGGAACCGGCTCACTGCAATCCTGGTTCATTTACGATCGAGGAGTCAGAGGACGAGCGTCGGAGGCTCCTTATCGAACGAGAGGAGGAAGAAAGAGTCGAGGCATTTTCCCTCAGTTTATCAGACATAAATAAGGTCATGGGCATAGTGGTGACACATGAGATGGTAGATCCAGACGCCATCCAGGCATTGAGGGAACAAGTCCCGGAATGCCCCTCTGACTGGGGAGTTGGAATTGGAATATCGGCTTCTAGGTGGGAGGAGGAACCTGGCGTCAATGCAAGCACAAGCTGTAACCCGACCTTTTTTAGGGGACGGCTCAAGCAGGGTTCCCAAAGGCGGTACAAGACAATAGATAAAAAGTGCCAACCAATTTTCGTCCTCGTTACCGAAGATGAAGAGGTATACTACGAGTGGGAGCGAGGTTTGATACGGCGGATGAAGGAGAACGCCTCAGCAGGGCCATGCCGTATCAACGAAGGGAACGAAGAGAAGTTGATAATAGGAGAGCCTCACTTCCTACTGCCCAAAGAAAGAGCGTTCATGATAGAACTAATGAAGAAAAGGCATCGCGCCTATGCATTTGACGACGAGGAGCGCGGCAGGTTAGATGTGGACAAGATTCCTATGATCCTCATCCATACCGTGTCGCATTAGCCATGAAACTTCAGAGGGGCGCGATATCCTAATCCTGACGAAGAGAAGAAGATGGTAGATTACCTCGACGGCAAGATACGTACGCATATCGTCGACTACTCAAGTGGGTTGTACGCATCACCATGGTTTTGTTTCATCAAACCTAATGGGACGCTGCGATGGGTGCAAAATCTGCAGCGATCAAATGCAGTGACTGTGTGAGATGAGGGAGGACTGGCGAATGCTGATACACTGTCAGAATCCTGTGTTGGAAGACCTACAATCTCACTTATGGACCTTTACTCCAGATATGACAAATTTTTGGTCTATCTACCAGACATTCTAGTAACGACAATGCATACGCCTCAAGGGCTAATCCATATGAATGTGGCTCCACAAGGGTGGACCAACGCGGTAGCAATGGTTCAGCGGGCCATGATTCAGACCATGCATTCAATCAGCCCACATATCACACCGCCATATATCGATGACTTGGCAGTGAAGGGGCCAACGGTAAAGGAGAACGACGAAGTCCTGCTAGGAGTGAGGCGCTTTGTCTAGAAACATATTTAGGACCTTGAGAGAGTCCTGAATCTATTTGAAGAGCATAACCTCATTGTAAGCGGGGCGAAATCCAGACACTGCATGAGGGAAGCTACCATCTTGGGGTTCGTCTGTAGTGAGAAAGGTCGTCGACCGGATGAAAAGAAGACGGACAAGACTATTGAGTGGCCAGTACCATTCCACTCAATAACTGATGTTAGAAGCTTCCTCGACACTTGTGGGTTTTGGAGGACCTAGAATTTTGCCGCCAAGATTGAGCACTTGAGAAAGTTGGTCCGTCAGGATCAGGAGTGAGTCTGGGGTGAAGAGCAGGAGAGAGTGGTGGCAGGAATGAAGGAAGAGTTCCGGGAAGGGGGATTGCTATTGGGAACGCCAGACTATGATGCCACAGAGATAAGACCATTCATTGTTGAAACGGATGCTGGACCGACTGCCTTGGGTGGAGTTTTGATTCAGGCAGATACAGAAGGGAAGGAGAGGCCGCTGCGATTTGAGAATCGAACTCTCTATACGGCTAAGAGAAACTACTCTCAGTTCAAGAGGGAGACTCTTGCCGTTCTTCACTGCCTGCGAATTTTTCGAAACTACATCTTTGGTAGGAAGTTCATATTGAGAGTGGACCCGACTCCACAAGCTATTCCCCAAGAAATTACGTTCCATCGGATCCGACTGTTGCTAGATGGCTGACGTATATCTGGATGTTTAATTTTGAGCTGGAACGGATTCCCGGGAATAAGAATAGGGCGGACGGGCTGAGCCGTATCAACTGGGATAAGCAAGAGGGGGACGCAATAGAGAATACGCCCCCAGTTGATGGTTTCCTAGATCAGGAAGAGGACATTCGTCTTCACATTAATGAGTGGTCCCCGCAGGTGCCTAGCTGCGTTGGTCATCCCATCCGGCATGCGCCAAACGGGTATGAACAGAAAGCAGAGCTGGTGCTCAAGCCTTTCGAAGAGAAAGATTTATGAGGCAGCAAAGATGTCCAGTGGATGATGAAATTGGTGCTAGCAGGCACGCATAGTCTAGTGGAGGAGATGAGAACAATAGAGGAAGGACCAGATCGCGTAGAGAAGCACGAGGAATTGATGGGAATGATGTATCTCCTCGTCAATACGCTTCTGCAGGGAAACTTTGATCAGATAGACTCATTGAATCCGGCTGAGAATGAGGATGTGGTCCAGGAAAGCCAGGATGACGAGTTTGAGGAGGGGGAGATTAAAGAGGCATTTCGTGCAGAGGAGTATGATGGAATCCACCTAAAACTGAGACTTCTCCTATCGTGCGAAATGCGAGATAGGGATGCACCCGAAAGGGCCCAAAAGATTAGGCATCGCTATTTGGTAAGAGATAGTCATCTTTTTGTAAAGAGGCAGTTGCGAAATCCCAGAGCGTCGTATGTGGCAAGAACCGTCAGATTGATGTTATAGTTGTGCTTCATGATGGCATTGCGGGAGGACACCGAGGAGTTTGTGCCACATATGCCAAGATAAGCGAGCTATATTATTGGGATTGGATGATGAAGATGGTTATTAAGTTATGTCGTTCCTGCGTACTCCTTTGAGGCCGGGGGGGTCACTGCATCCAAGGCTGGAAAGGGAAGTAGGGGCCGTAGTACATCTCGACTTAATCTTCATGCCACTTGGGGATCATGACTACAATTACATCTTCGATGCGCGCGATAACCTTTCTGGTTGTGTAGATGGACGGGCTATTCATACAAAGGCAGGATAAGTTTTGGTAAGCTACATCGAGGAGTACCACCTGCGCTATCCCTTTGTCAAAGAATTTGTAATTGATAGAGGATCGGAGGCAGTTGTGAAATCCCAGAGGGTCGTATGTGGCAAGAACCGTCAGATTGATGTTATAGTTGTGCTTCATGATGGCATTGCGGGAGGACACCGAGGAATTAGTGCCACATATGCCAAGATAAGCGAGTTATATTATTGGGATTGGATGATGAAGATGATTATTAAGTTATGTCGTTCCTGCGTACTCCTTTGAGGCCGGGGGGGTCACTGCATCCAAGGCTGGAAAGGGAAGTAGGGGACGTAGTACATCTCGACTTAATCTTCATGCCACTTGGGGATCATGACTACAATTACATCTTCGATGCGCGCGATAACCTTTCTGGTAGTGTAGATGGACGGGCTATTCATACAAAGGCAGGATAAGTTTTGGTAAGCTGCATCAAGGAGTACTACCTGCGCTATCCCTTTGTCAAAGAATTTGTAATGGATAGAGGATCGGAGTTTACCTGCCAGGAGGTGCAAAAGTTGTTATCAAGGTACGACGTAGTAGCGAATTACACCATCGCTGCGCACCCCCAGACAAACGCTCCAGTTGAGAGAGGACATAGCACCATTACGAACCTTCTAGCTAATGGACTGAATGTAACGAGAGTGAGGTTGAGGGTGAGCCGAGGGAGAGGAGAGAGAGAGGGAGAGAGTGAGAGCACACACACACACTCACTCACTCGACACGACGGACTCGGACTKAGGGTTGGACGCAGACACAGTGGCAAGGCACAAAGTCGAAGTCTTGGATTCCCAATGCCGAAACGGCAAGTCACACTGAGTACAAGTACAGCAGCAGAGAACTGGTACGAGACTGGTCCCCGTACCGTACGGGGAGYCGGTATAAGTACCGGTGACACGTACGGTACCAGGGGCATTTCTGCAAAGGCCCCGAGGGCAGAACTGAAAAATGCAGTATTTGAAAGTGGCGCCCGAATTGCAGCATGGCGCCAGTTGTCCAAAATCCTATGGTACCAAAAGGAGGGGTTTGGAAAAAGGGTGCCAGGCCGAAAACGGGATGCAGCCGAAACAGCAAAAGATAGACCAGGGATCGAGCCCTGGCGAAGTCCGTAACACTGAAGGTAGGCCTAATCAGTGGCCAAGATACCCGACGGCGGCATTTTTTGTCAAGAATATTACCGTGAAAAAGACCACTAAATACGCACCGGCAACGCTATGGTATGGGAGACACACCACTTTCCCAATCGAGAGCTTCCTAAAGATTTGGAGGTGTCATGATTTGAAGGTTGACCTGTCTTTCGAGGAATTGCTCGATATTCGAGTGCGACAGGAGAGCGCGATAGAGGAAACAATTCAGGAGGCGTCCAACGAAGTGGAAAGGAGCCGTATGGAGGATAAGGCTCGTTGGGATCAGTTGGCGCGAGTACGAAAGATACTCTTGGCAGTCAGACATCGTACTCCTGTATGACTTGTCCTTGGAGAAGTAGTGGTCCAAGAAACTTGATAAAAGGTGGTTAGGTCCCTATCCGATTGTGCGATGTGGAGATTTCGGCGCATACCAAATTGAAGAGCTAGATGGGACAAAATGGAAGGACAGGGTGTTAGGGACGAGACTGAAGAAGTTTGTGGCCAGAGAAGAAGAAGGTTGTGGCCACTAAAGAAACTTTATGGGATGATGGGATATGTAGAATAGATAGGGGTGCATGATGTATGTGTTTGGTTTGACTTGAGCTTGCTTTATTTACCACCTGTTTGTTTACCCCAATGTGTGTATGTTGTCTTCTTCACCTGTTGTGTAGGTCTGACTTTGCGAAGACAGCCATGCAAAAAGGAGGGAAGGGGATACGGCCGCCACGGAGGCCGTTAGGAGCATCATGAGGTTGTAAGCGACATGGGTCTCGCCAGCGAGAGAGTACGCCCGTGTATGATGATGGGGATATAAAGCTATTCCTGGATGATTTTCGGAAGTATGCAGAGCATATGGGCTGGACCATGACTTGAACGATTGAAAGGCTGAGAGGAGCTGGCAGGTTCATTGAGCTCATTGCACAGATTCGCAGTGGGGCGAGGACGTGGCCAAAGGTGGAGGCGAGGATGCAGGAGTTGCGACCATCGCCTGTAGGGCCGGACGGCAGACCGATCCGCCTGGAGATCGGGAATGTGGAGGATTTCATCCCCGCCTTTGAGCAGTTCATGCACGGTCAGGGCATATTGAGGGATGAGTGGGCGAGGACGTTACCCCTATGGACCAAGAAGACCGAGAGACTCTTGGTCATGCAGGTCAAAGACATGGTTCGAGACTGGGAGAGTTGCAGGGCACACTTGAGGGAGAAATTTGACGACCAGAGCCACCTCAGCCCAGAGTCGAGAGACTCCAGAGGAGCAAGAGGCAGAGGGACCTTGAGCCTAGAGAGGCCAGGCCATCTCGAGGGGGACGAAAGGCACTCGCCTGACGAGAGGAGGAGTTGGTGCCTGAGACTTAGGGACGAGGGGCTTATCCTGAGTGCAGGTTGGGGCCAGTGGTGTTTCATCACTTCACCGAGGGAGGAGATGCCATTATCTGGAGAACCACTGCAGAAGTTGGAGGCGCATTTGGATGTCTCACAGTGGATAGTACCGCCGATGAGCGAGAGGCGTGACGAGCCGGAAGAGGAGGTACCACGAGAGGAAGCCCAGGACCCTGAGCGAGAGGTGAGGCCGAGTACTGAGAGGGGTCATGTTATAGAGGAGATGAAAGAGGTTGAGGAGGATACTCCGCCTCACACACCGGCTGTGGGATTGAGACTGGGGAGTGCGTTAGAAGGCGCACACGACAGAGAGGAGGAGTCGCGGCAGAAGGAGATCCCATTACCACCACCAGAGATGGTCCCATCGCCAGGAGTGAGGGTAGAGATGGAGGAGCCCGTACCTATGGAGCCACCCCAGGAGGAGCCCGTACCTATGGAGCCACCCCAAGAGCCACGCCAGGCAGAGAGAGAGATGGGAGCCAAGGGTTCAGGGAGAGCCGACCATCGTACGAGGGAGAGAGTGCCTGCAGGGGAGACGACTGAGGAAAAACGGGTCAGAGTTGGGAAACGCTTGGAGAAAATCTAGCAGGAAAGGTAGAGGTTAGAGGAGGCAGGGGCACTCCCAGATCAGCCACCACCATCTAAGCCATATGGAATCAAGGAGATGTGGGACGAATTCCTTGACCATTATGATGAGGGACTAACGACTCCAGAAAGGGCAAAAGTGGGAACTTCGAGGAAGGCGGATGAGTACTTAGACCGAAAGATCCGCTTCCTGGCCAAGACATCCTTTGATAGGTACCTGATGTTGGAAGTTGATCTGGTTAGGAAGAAGATGAAGGAAGTAAGCCATGGAGTATGCTTAGAGGCGGTTGAGGATGAGGTCCGCGATCTCAAGGCATTGGTGGCTAGTCAAGCTGTCATCATCAAGGACTTGAGGCAACAGCCTAGAGACGGGGTTAGCAGGACTCACAGAGAGGAGTCAGTCAAGGTGGTGGACAGGGCAGAGAGAAAGTCGGCGTAAAGATCAGGGAGAGACAGTACATGGCTTATCAAGGCAGCCATCCACAACTGAATTCCCTCGGGGGCCGCCCATAGGAAGAACCATCTTGATACATGAGCAGGCGGAAGTCAAGCGGGAGGCAGAGAGAGAGACTTTCGAGTTCAGAGCCCCTACGGAGCTCGCCACTCTGCCTACAACAGAAAAATTCCCACGAGAAATGAAATTTGAAAAAACATTCCATAAAAAAACAATCCTTCATATTTATAAATTATCATTCCAATATTCGTACAATTCTAAAATTATCAATTTAATTTCATAAGTTCTCGTCTAAATATGAGTTTTCCCTTGAATGAAAGTCTGGACTAATTTATGAAATGTTTTAATTAAACTTTCATTCTACTACAACAAATATCTTTTAATTTAGATTGGATTAACTTATTTATGACTGGAAATCCTTACTTAGAGTGACAATCCAATTAAAACATTTCATGAACTCATCCACTATGAAACACCCGCGGATGCGTCCGCGGGGTCAAGCTCGGAGGGCGGACGTGAACACGGCCGCCGCGGCTTCGACCGCGGTTGGGTGCGGCCGCGACTATCAGGAATTTTTGTGACCTTAAAAATTTATAAAAATAAAAATAAAAAATATGGGGTTGTAGATCTTTTTGAGATCTAAATAGCCCAATTTTTTAATTTAATTTTTGACTTCGTCTTTGAATTTTAAAAATTCAAAAACTAATTTTCCTGAGGCAAAAGCTATTTGTTTTTTTTTTTCAAAAAAAAAACATGAAACGTATGTGATTTTTTATTTTAAATTCAGTAACGTTTTTGGTTATGACCACAAGGCAAAAGTTGTTCAGTATATGTTTCTGCATAACATATGTTTTTTTCAGAAGTTTTTGAATTTTTATTTTTTTTCTTTTCTTTTTTCATGGCCGCGGACCGCGGACACGTCCGCGGGGTCGCGGCTTAGGTCGCGGCCTAGGCCGCGGCTGCGGACTTGTCCGCGGATGGCCGCCGCCGAGGGGGATTCATAGTTCATCCAGACTTTCATTTCATCTGTAGCATGCAGTTCAAATAAGAAGGGATACTTTATTCTTGGAAGGAAAATTTCAAGTCAGACGGAAAAATTTAAAATTGGAATGAAAATTTTCAAGATGGAATAAAAATTTGAAATTTAGAATGTACTTTTACTCTAAAATGATTATTTAATTCTGGGAAATTTTTATGTTGTATAGAAGTGGTGGAACCCACGATAGCAGTTACGCCATTATCAGTTGGGGAGAGGCTGCAGACGGCCACCAGCGAGCCAGTCCAGGGTTCAGTAGAAGGATCTATGGATGTGCTCCTTGAGGCAGTCGGCACTATGCAGGAAGAGGCGAGTCTATTTTCACATGATCAATGGATAGAGGAGCCTCCTGAAAGAGAGCTGGTGACTATGATGAAGAGCGTCATTGAGGGTAGGCCACTGAGGCTGGATACTCCTGAGTACAGACCTGAGGGGGTAGGAATATAAGCAGAGCCGAGTACTCAGGAGATGAGTGTGAGATCTAAGGAGCCTATGGACGTACCTCAGAGCTATGAGCATAGAGGCCTGTAAGGCACCGTCATCGCCAAGGGCTCACCAAAAGAAGAAGAGGCCAAGAAAGTCGTTTGACCCGACCTGTTTCTTCTGCAAAGATGGGGAGCATAGGGCCTTGCAGTGTCCTAAGTTCTTAAAGGACCTGGCTGGAGGGAAGGTCACAGGGAGCGACGGAAGGATGTATGCTAGACAGGGTAGGGTACTAGTGGAGTGATCTTCTGATGGGGGTGGGGCTCAGTTGTACAGGCAGAACCAGGAGGAGATGAGTGAGTAGGGATTGGTTCGCCTATGGGTGAGTTGTCGCTAGAGTATGTTCTTGTGAGGGTGAGATGGACCTGGTTTGTAGGTCAGATACATATTTTCATTTGATATTTTTGTCCTAGCATTGTTAGGAGGTTTGGATACCTATGTCGTTGAGTGTACAGATGGGGGTTTACACCATAGGGTGTTCTTTGAGATTAGGACCATGTGAGATAGCACGTGTATACTGAGGTTATGACAAGGGAATTTTAAGTTTGTTTCCTGTGTCATTGATAGGTGAGTTAAAATATCTGATTCACACAAATCACGCGTACACAAAGAGTACATACACGAATTGTATTGAAAGATGTAACTCAGTACACGAGGTACTGTCGTGATTGCCACAGTACACGAAGTACTGCCATGATTGCAATGTACCGGCGGGTAATGGCTACCCCGATCGGTTTCGACCGCCGCCACACGGTCTTCCTCAAGGGGAATCCACATCTCTACACCCTCGATGTTCCCGACATTCCACATACCCACCACCGCTGCTTTCCGCTGAACATCTCCGGAAACGTCAGCGGTCCAACAGCGTAGGAACCGGAAAAGGACAACAGCTCACGCAATCATTACTGAAATAGATGTCCGAAAATCCAAACCTAGTACTACCCTACTTCCATAATACTACTCCCAACTACGTCCGGTCTGAAGCCTCAAAAAACTGACACTCCGAAGGTAATGGGTTCGAAGTCTCATCCTGTCGTTACTCACCTGACCAAGTCCCAAGCTCGGCCTTTTCATTGTTGGTTTGGGGCCCAAAACTGCCTCATTCTCATGACGGTATCCTAAAAAACACGAATGAGAAATCTGAATCGTACGGCTAATTTGCCTGAAACTCGACACAGGTCATCAGTTCGAGGCTCGGTCCGCTCCCGAAAATGATCACAACCTCTACTCAACCAGAAAACAAGAAACGAACAGCCTTACAGCAGAAAAAACCCTAACACTTTTACAACATTTCAAATCCTCCCTATCTCTACATCTATCATACATCACATTGGCACAACATTTAAAAAAACCCAAACATTTACACAACCTTTTCAATCATCCCTGTCCCTACATGTATCATACATCCTCAACTTACTTCGACCTAGACAGTCTCCCGGTGACAAAGTCAACAATTCGTCCAGATGACACAGTCAGCATTTCTTCTCAGATGCTACCGTCCGCCCTCTTGTCTTTTTATACACATTCAAGCCCTCTCACCTAGTCCTACGGCTCAGTCGTACAGCCAATGGTAAATCGCCTGCCATATCGGATCCCTTCCTTTTGCGAAGCTTCTCAGGATCCTTTCCAAGAATGTCTTTCGAAAATTATTGATCCAAAGCTCCCTCCGGAGGGTAAGCACTTGCATAGGGATCTCCTCCCGTATCGTCGTATTCTTCTCAATGCAGTGCAGGTAGCTAGCTTCTACCGCGCTCTTCTGTTACTTACTTCCCCAGGAGCTGAATGCTTGGCCGTTCTTGAATTCCAGTCTTTCGTCTCCCCAGATACTCTTCTCGTTCTTCGATTTCTGCAGACACCCAACATAGGGGGAATGGTCGCTGATCCTCATTTCCAGCCTGAGGAAATCCCATGAGCTGCCACCTTCATCCGTCCTCTTCAACGTCAAGTTGTCCGGGTAGCAACTCTCAAATGCTTTCCGGATCGTTGTGACGTTTTCACCCTTGTCCCTCCTTGTTAGCAGGATGATGCTTACATTATCCATCAGCCTGAGGCCGAAGATGTTTCGTCTGAGATTCCCCATGCTTTTCAGGAATCTGAACTCTGGATGTGCACATATTATACATGCCAGCGGTGGGCTGGTCCCTTTCCCAATCGGGATATATGTCACTTGTCTCAAGAGTACCCCGGTCGCTCTTGTGTATGTGTGCTGTAGCTCGAATTTCACGAAATCGTAGATCTTCTCCAACTCAATCCTCTTCCAATGGTTGTCGCCCGTGGTGTGACCGTAGCTGCATCCTTTCCCTCTTGTATTGACTCGTACATACTCCCGACCTTTGCTTTGGTGGTACTCCACCAACCATTCCACCGACCTCATCATCTCATCATGAGGTAGCTTGCTGAACATGTCCTTGATGTCGTACGACATCGAGACAAGTTCGCATCTACCATTCCACTGGCGACCCTGTTTATTATTGAAGACTTGAATCCTCGAAGCCACCGTCGCGACCGATCTCAGGTTGAAGTGCCAGTCAGATGGCAGCGTAAACAGTAGATAGTTAAGAGCCTTCGGCATATTCTTCCCCGCCTTAATCGTGGGCTCCGAATAGGTTGGGCAGATTGGTCAAATCTGCTCAAGTCCTTATGCTTCGGCAGAATGTAGGCGTCTCCAAAGTCGCCCTTCGCATCCCATCTAACGTCACGCTGCAGTTGTTGTCGCTTGATGTCTATCTTCATCTGAGTCTTGATAGCTTCTTCAGATCTCACCTCAACTATATATCCGACATTCCGCACATACATATCCATCATTCCTTCATAGTACAACTTGGGGCACATAACCAGAGTTTCGCCTGGATTTCTGTCCAGGGGAGTAAGTACTAGCCCATCTAGTTGCACTTTCACTCGCTGGACATCCCGAGTCGTCAGGTACTTAGTTCCCTCGTCCCTTGATCCGATCAAACACCTGTCCACTTCACTCTGTTGCACCACTATCTTCTCGCCTCTGTTGTTCGCCCATCCTTCGAACGTTGTGCCTATCTCCTCGCGTAACATCCGTCTCCGGTCTTGGTGGTCTGGCTTCGGGATATTGTTTGCATTCACAATCATCGGGTGGATTCCTTTCAGTTCCTGCAGTCGGAACTGCACGTGGTCTCCTATCCTAGGATAGGGAAGCCCTGCACATCTGCAGGTCTGCACTTCCGCTTTGGCATATCGCCGCTGGTTGTGCAATAGGTTCGACACCGATGGGCTTTTGACCCACACGGTTCGAACCGTACTCCGTGCTTCCTTCTTTACACAAACTGGTAAGTCCAACTCCTCGATCTTGTCGTTCACCACCTTCCTTACCTCCGCCAACTTAATCCGATCGTCGAATTTAAGTCGTACGATTAAGCTTGAATTCACCTGCCACCCGAAGACGTTCTTGATCGTCCGCACAATAATTCTTCGAAGGTAAGCTGTAGTTGATTTATTCTGAAAGTCCTTAGCGGCATTCCGCAGCCTCATCAACTCCTCCAAACTTCTTTGCTCGAGGCACTTAAGCTTCCTTGGGTTCCGGAATAACGATATAAGAAATATATTGTCCGCACCGATCTTCGACTTCCATCGCCTAAGGTAACACACCTCCACCTCGCCTCCTTCTTTGAAAACTTGCTTGCATGCTGACAACTTCACCCGTTGTCCATTCACCTCCACCATCGAGAGTCTGAAAGCTTTCCGTATCGTTTTGTATCCTCCACTCCAAAGGTTCCCTCCCTTGGTAAATAAATGGAAACCCCTGTATTCCAATCGTTCCCTCTCCTCCAATACACCAAAGATGTTCATGCTCCAATCGTCAACCTCGTTCAACCTCACTTTTACTGGAGTGACCTTACTTGGTTCACGGTGGTACTGCCCGTCTTTGTTATGTCTAGCCCTCTCCTCTTTCTCTTTCCTCGTCCTCTTACCCCTACGATGTTTCCTCTTCGGCAATCTTCCACACGTGTTGAGAGCCGGATTCCGGTGTCCGATAAACATGGATTCCAGCTCCCCCAGATCCTTCGTAGTACAGCTTTCGACCAGAATAAGCATGCATGATTCCACTCTGAATCTCCTCCACCATCGATACAAATGGTTCATCTTATCATCTCGATTACATACCGAGAGATGCTCTCTCCATCTCACTTGAGCTTCTCGGCATGTCTGTCCAACATATTGGGAGCGACAGTACGGAGATGTCACCACGTATACACATCCCGAAATATTACCGAAAATGTTGACACCGCCTTGCTGATACAGACTAACCCAAGATGCCACGCATTTATCCATCCATCAGAGTTGTCCTCGTAGTGCTAACATAATCACGGTGATGCGATACACAGCATCCAGATCCGTGTCTGTATCACCCTCCTTACGCCTTGCGACAATCCATCTACACAACTCCCACAACTTTTTATTAGGCCAACACCATCACTCGTCAGATACCGATGCGTCATCTATCTCTTTCGTCGCCGCTTCTTCCATGTCAGGCTGCTCGGCGTAACCTTGTTCTTCTTCATTTTGTGATCCGTAGGCCTTCTCCGCACGTTTCTCTGCAATCGAAACAATCGCCGGAACTTTCTTCCCTGCAAACGCCACGTCCTCATCGGTGCAGATCTGCTTTAACTCGTCCACAGTCAATTCTGCTAGTAAAAGCATGTTCTTGAGTATGTACTTAGCCCTCCCGATCGATCCCAACGCTGCTGGAATCTTCTTCTTCAGCTGACTACTCGTTCTTGGTGTACCCCGTTTTGGTGTTCGCTTGGCCGTCGTCTTCGGCGATATCCTCCCGCCACTATGTCTCAGTCGCTCCATCAACTTCACCGGTTTACATGCGCGTCTAGGTGTTCTCTTAGCTGGAATCATCATTGGGGGGCTGTTCCCCACGTTCTTCTCAGCGCTGCGTTTTCTCTTCTCCTGCTTCCCCGATATCGTCAGTCCTCCCGTCTTTAGGCTGATCTCCTCGACATCACTTCCCCCGAAGCCTCCCGACGCTTCCGACTCTTCCTCCGACCCACAGGTGTCATCCGATGTCGCCATCTTCGCCTTACCCTTGCTTTTTTCCACTGTCTCCTTAACGACTTTTTTCACTTTTCAGGCAACGCGATCAATGCGATTTTCGATCCCGCCCATTCGTGTGGACAATTCCATCGCCATGTCTTTGCGCATCAGCGCTTACTGTTCTTCCTCGCGCCTTTGCTTAGCTTCCTTATTCTTCGCGCGTCTTTCGGCTGCCTCCTTTTCTTCAACCTCCCGTCTCTTTCTCTCCTCCTTCTCGGTTTTTCGTCTCTCCTTCTCCTCCCGTTTTTCCTTCTGCTTGTCAACAAATTCTCGTACCGTTAAGATGGAGTTCTCCATATCATCCAGCTATTTGCTTAGGTCAGGATCCACCGATGCCGATCGCCTGGCGTAGTTCCTTGTCTCACGCCCCGGTGATAGCGAGCGTCCCCTAAATCCAAGGTAAGCTTGAGAGCTTCCTTCGCCAGCCAGCTTGGGGCACTGACTGTTGTAGTGCCCTGGTTCATTACAGTGGTAGCAGATCACTGTGTTCCATCTCGGGTACTCTCGTGGTGGGTAACCACGATCGTAGTTCCCTCTGCTCGAGTCGCCGTATCCTCCCCGTATATCTTCCCCTCCGCCATCCCTTCGGTATCCTCTGTTGCCGTCGCTTCCTCCCTCTCTTCCACCGTCACATCCTCCTTCTCCATGTCGATCCCTGGATCGGTCCCTATAGTAGTAACTTCGGTCTCGCTCCTTCTCCCGACCGTAGTCCCTGTAGCCCGACATCGAGTAACTCGCTCTTAAATCCCGTCTTCAGTGTAGTGAAACAAACTGTGCCAACTTACCGGACTTGGCGTTCGCTTCACATTCGCTTCAATCGCCTTCTTGTTCACGTTGCTCGAGCTAACCAGCCATCCTCCCTGCTCCGCTTTCTCTCGTCGCATGTCGTACTTTGCTTCGTATACTTGCTTGCTTGTAAATGGTACTTCACATGTTCACTCTCACTCGGCGAGCATCTCTAAGCGGGTTCGCATGCGCCTTAACAGCTGTTATTGATAGGTGAGTTAAGACATCCGATTCACACAAATCACGCGTGCACAAAGAGTACATACACGAATTGTATTGAAAGATGTAACTCAGTACACGAGTTACTGCAGTGATTGCCACAGTATACGAAGTACTGCCGTGATTGCAATGTGTCGGCGGGTAATGGCTACCCCGACCGGTTTCGACCGCCGCCACACGGTCTTCCTCAAGGGGAATCCACCTCTCTACACCCTCGATGTTCCCGACATTCCACATACCCTTCGCCGTTGTTTTCTGCTGAACATCTCCGAAAACGTCAGTGGTCCAACAACGTAGGACCCGGAAAAAGACAACAGCTCACGCAATCATTACTGAAATAGATGTCCGAAAATCCAAACCTAGTTTTACCCTACTTCCAAAATACTACTCCCAACTACGTCCGGTCTGAAGCCTAAAACAACCGACACTCCGAAGGTAACGAGTTCAAAGTCTCATCCTGTCGTTACTCACCTTACCAAGTCCCAAGCTGTGTAACCGTTTGAACGCTGTGAACGCTCGTTCACGTTCAAATGTACGTTTGAACGCGGATTTAAATTCACGTTCAAAATTGAATGGCGTTCAATTATTTATTTATTTATTTATTTATTTTCTTAAAATCATTTCGATGCCTAAAAGCAACTTTTGTTTTCTGATATTTTTTTAATGAGTTACCGCACGATGTGAGGTACATTCCTCTCAATTTTGGAGTCATTTTGCTAAGGCAAAAAAATGAAAAATCGCCAAAGATGACGGTGTCAAATCGTGTTCGCTCAATAATTTCAATTTTTTTTTTTTTTTTTTTTTTTTTTTTTTTTTTTTTT